CTTTAAAGTCCACTATAATTATTTACCATAGCGACACTTCGATGCTAGATTCAATGAACAGCGTTACGTCTCATTCATTTTATAACTCAGATTGCACAAAAAATTATATCATCTGAAGAATTACCACATGTTCTATTCAAATACTGCAATTAATCTAAAACGATGTATAAAAGAAATTAAACTGATAAAAAAGAAACAGATTTTGGCTGACGATTCAGCGCCGCTTACCAAATGCGCATGCGCTACTAATTCAGTTCTCATTTTTGGCAAGGCAAAAATACATCAAGATTCTAAACATTTTCACTAAAAATTGAAAGATATAGAAAAACATACACCAAATACAGTTAAGACAATTAAAAAACAATTTTTACAATTAAAATTACAGTTTCTATGCAAAAATAAGCTAAAAATTTACATGATAATTCCAGAATGAATTAAGCATAATTTGTAAGGATCCTAAGTTTTACTAACGTTTATTTTATTTTAAAACTGTACTATCATTTCTTATTTTTTCTACTTCCGGCCAGAATTAAACACTTTAACTTATTTATGCAAATTGTCTTGCTAACGCCAAGTACTGAAGTTGTGGCTTTTTGCCAAGCAAGAGAAAGGAATGAGTTATTGGAAGCAAGCCGCTTGCCACTGTAGTTTTACGAGTTTTCATTCTGTTGCTGGTTGCCTTCAAGGCCAGAGGTTTAGTCCTCTTGATAATTTGCGAACGTATTGTAGTTTAAGCAGCTCGGCGTACTGCATACGTACCTTTCATTAAATAAAGGCTAATCTTAGTGCTAGGCACTTGTATACTAATTCAAAGTTAGTTTTAGTTAGAGTTTTAGTTAGTAGTTTTTATATTCTTACGTTCATACCACAAGTGGTTGGTCTCTGTATTTCGAAGTTTCGGAAATTCCTGTAAAGTATAGAAAATAAAAGGTTTCGTATACCCTTCCTGCTTGTATTGTCTACTTCACACATTCTTGAACATAGCTTGAGTAAGCTTCCTGTTCCTATTCAGGACCATTCATGTTTCGAAAGCAAGTCAAAAGAAACACTAGTCCTGATAAATTTAATTCGCAATCATAAAAGAAGACATTACTTTGTTGTTGAGAAGCTTAGTTTCTCTAGATTAGCAACAAATTCACTATTCTACTAAGTTTTAAATGTAAACAAGTATGGCTGCCATGCTAAACAAATATTATGTGTAGCCGCACTTAAAAAAACTTTTAAATTGTTGATAATTCCACAATTATTGCATGCAGGTTAAGTAAAGGCGTAAAAACCTTAACCAGAAGATAAGAACAACACAATTCAATCATTTTTAAAGCAAAAAATGCGCAATTTACAAACATATGAGAATAAAGAAACTGAGCTCAATGAGCCGAGTGACAGAGTGCATTTAACTTTTGGTGCAGCCGATTGCAACCAAAGTGGGAGGATGGGCCATCTACATGTTATAGCAGTCCTATATACAAATTTCAACGTTCTGAGGGTACTCGTTTTTGAGTTCTGCGAGATACATAACGTACGCAGGTACGTACGTACGGACGGACGCCACGAAAAAAATCTCTTCAGAATTCTTTTTTAAATCAGTTTTATATATATATATATATATATATATATATATATATATATATATTTGCAGAAAAAAGTCCTTTATTCTGTCTTTACAGATGTCACGCAAAACCATCCTTAAATTGAATTCGATAACCAGCAAAATGGTGATTTTCGTTGAAATATGATACTCGAAATTTTTCGCGATTACGATACTTCCTTATCACTTCGTGCAAGGAATTAAAAATTAACTGACTGTTGTTAAAAGAGATTAAATAATATACCCGTTCGCAACCGCAAAGTTAATTTTAATCTTTTAGAAACCAGACCTCTTTTTTTTCTTTTGTTTTTTGTTACCCCCCCCCCAAAAAAAAGGGAACCTCGTTCCACATTAAACTGTAACTCTTGCCTTTGGTTAAAGGTATTACTTTCGTTTCTTTTATTTATTGAGATTAGCTTACTTAATTTTAAGCATTTAGCCCATAGAACATAAAGAATAAAAAGGAAAGATAAGTAAAATAACAACTTTTTGCAGCTAATGAGAAAGAAGTTGTAATCGTTAGAATTCAGATTATCTGTTTAAAATACACAAAATAGCCTGTTAACAAGTTCATATTTAGCTTTATACTTATAGTTTGAATAAACACTAAAGTGAATCACAGTTCACACCGTAATTTCAATTTTGCAAATTTAAGAGAAACATTAACTTAAAACCAGAAAACCATTTCATGACAGACGGGGGAATTGCTACACACCAATCCTGTGAACAGCTATGCCTGAATCTTAATAATATAAAAAATCTGATGTGGACACCATATGACTTCCTTGTATGGCCTATTAAATTATACACACTTTTTGCTGCATTTCCTTCAAATTTATTGCCTCGAATTTCATTAGAGATATATTTCTCATTCAATCAATGAGTTCTCTCTTCGCAGCAAGGCAAGGATACATAAAATCTCGAAACATCTTCATTAAAAATTATAAAATACAGGAAAACATAAAGCACCTAATACAGTTAAAAACAATTTTTACGTTTAAAATCAGACTTTCTATGCACAAACCAGCAATTCGGCCAGTAGGCAAAGAGACAGATCTTTTGGTGCACAAAATTGAAAGTTTACTTTTGGTCCCACTCGGCAAAAAGACACTGAAGTTGGTGCACAAACTCACTGCATTCATTATTCTACTGAAAGCTTCAAATATAACCCAATGGCGCCCTCGTTAGGCTTAGTGCCATTTAATTGTTAACAAGATATAGATATTATTTATATATAGATATTACTTATATATAGATAGTGATTTTATATATAGCATTGTTTAACATAGTTATTTTGACAAAGAAACAGACTTTTTCTGAAATGACATAGCGATTTGTTTCCATATTTCCATTCTAAGACTCAATTTATAAGTTAATATTAAATAATGTACAATTTGGCGAGAAACGTAAGGGGAAACTAAAAAATTTATCTTGGCCTACTTTTTTCAGTCTACCCCAAGAATAATTCGCCTTGGGAAAATTCGGTAACCTGTTTTATTTTCGCTTTTATTGCCCACGAGCGGAAAAACAAATGTGCATCTTTCATTTTTCAAATAATTTTAATCAAGTGGATAGCGCATATTTGGCGTTATTATCGCTTACTCATATGCCAAATTTTAAAACGCGCCAATTCTTAAATTCACGTATATCTATGGAAGTTTTGAATAAAAAACTCTAATTTTTTTCAAGTACGACTGGAAAGACAGGTACATTAAGGTGATGGTAAAAGTTTTATAGGTTAATGATAGAAAAATGCGTTCGAAAAATTTAGAAAATTAACAAAAAAAAAAAATATATATATATATATATATATATTATATATAAGTTTCGAATTAATTTGAAAACATCTGCCAGTTTTACTTAGATTGAACGTAAATTTGGAACTGTGAAAGAAGGAATCCAGTACGTTTAATAAAAAATAGATATTAATAAATACATACCAAATCCAATTAACATAAAGGAGCTAAACCTTAAACAATTTAAGAGGTAATTTTTTAAAACCTACTCGAGCGATTTTTACAAAACTTGATTCTTTGGCATAATTTGAGTCATAGAATCGGAATATAGAAAAGAATAGGTATGTCACTTTAGAAGAAGTCAAATTTTGTGTCAGAATATCTATGTTAGAGCAATACGATATTATAGATATATAAATCTAATAAATATGGCATGTCGTGCTTTTGAAACTTGAGACATAAAAAACGCAAGTTTAATTTCGTCAATCGGGCAAGTAGAAATAGATACCATGCAGTCTCACTTTTATACGCTTTTTTGAACGATAGTAGCGCATTAAATACCCTTTCACGGACCACCGTTTAAGTTTGCAAACTAATATAATTGATTTTTAAGTCTTTGTGCAAAAATTTATTCTGCATACAGTGTAAGCATTTGTTAAGGTCCTGAAAAATTGACTTAAAAATGCTTAATTGTACTCTAGTGGAAGCAAGAGCATACGGGACTATTAACAATTCGGGGAATTTCCAGCAACCGCTTTTAATTCCATCTTGTCGCTTTATATATATATTTTTAAAAACATATGAAATATTAATTGCATTGCAGGATTAGTGTAGCAAAAAACAATAAAATCATTAGAACAAAATATTTAGTGACATTAATAAAGTAAATAAATAAATTCGAAAGATTAATTAACGGTAAACATATTAGACTCTCATAACCCCGTCGTCGTTAGCTTGTCCTTAATTCGAAATGAATAAATCTAATTGTTTGCTTCATAGCATAAAAGAGGGGAATTTTCATGTTCCACCCCCTTGTCGATTTTATAATGATACCAGCACTTAAAGCTACTCAGCAGCAATTCTCTTAAATCTGAACTTGGCTGTCCTGGCATCTCGATGAAAATTGCCTTATTCGTGGTATAAACTGAATTTCATAAAGGTTCTGGATAATTCTTGTATCTTGACAAACTATGGCTGACCTGAAAACGATGTCTGCACTTTTATGCACGCTAGACGCGCCAGTCAGAGCAGCCCCATCCGCCCATAAATGGATGGATGCTGCGACAGTCCGAGTAAGGACTGCATTGTTTATAAAGAATTGGATAATAGAACTATGTAATCCTATCGAACGAAGAGAAGATATTCATTGAGATTATGCTAAACACTTGAAAAACACCAATTAAGTCTCTGATATTATCCCTCAGTACAGTACTAACATGGTATCATGACTTCATCGTGGGCAGAATGTATGTAAAATTGCTATATTTACTTCAATTCAAAATAAGTATCCTGATATCAGCAAGTTAGATTATTAAAATAGCAATGAAAGACAACATTTCAGCCTCATAATATGTAAAAAATGTCAAAAGTATTGCGAAAGACCATATTTTGCGTTAAGGGTAGAATCAATTCCAATTTTGAACAATTATTCGAAAACGAACTTTAATTCTGCAAACCTGATTGCTCTGACGTGGACTCCGATGGTTGGAGAAAAGGAAAAATACCATGGCAGGGGAATGAAATGGAGGATCCGGCCGGCGTTGGAGGCCAACAGAAGAAACTGTCCCAAGCTGCTGGGCACATTAAATCACCTGCAAAGAAATATATAAAATTACTTAAAAAGTTTGTATGTATGCGGTATAATATAGTACACAGAGTTTCGTATATACTGCAGATTTATGCTCTAAAATACATTCCTATTAAAAAAATAAGCAACAAAGGCAAAGCAGGGGAAAAACAAAAACTATTTAATGAATAGGCGTGAAACTGATCTAAGCGGTTGGTGCGGCATTACTAGAGCATATAGCAAAAAACAATACATAGCAAAGACATACAAAAATATATGTATTACTACCATCACAACTCGTAAGACCATTTGGGTCGGAAAAACGTGCATTTGAGACATCACGCTAATAACGGGGATGATATTCTCTAGCTGAAGTGCGTGCTTGACAACGGCGAGGTAGGCTGGGAACAGTATCGCTGATCGCTTGTTGTGGCAGTAGCGCCCATTTCTGTAGTATAGCATGTCGAAGCTCGTGAGGGGTGCACATTGGCAGACTGCAACCTGCTATCCGTTGTCCTAACATGTCCCACATATGCTGTAGGGGATTCAGGTCCGCTGATCCAGCAGACAACGGCAAATGTGGAATGGTTTGATTCTTCAGATACCTCTGCATCACTCGCGTTCTATGCGGGCAGGCGTTATCGTCTATAAATATTGAGTCAGTACCTATTGCAGCGATAAAAGCACACATAAGAAGCTGCAAAATTGGTCGCGATATCGGACGGTTGTGACGGAACGATCAGGAATCACGTAGAGGTCGGTGCGGCTGTCCGTTGCTATTCCAGCCCATACAAGTAAGCTTCCTCCTCAATGGTTATTTTCCAGGATGTTTGACGCCCAATAGCGTGTTCCTGGCTCTCCCCATATCATTGCCCTTCCGGAATCGTTCTGGGTGTTACATCGAGACTCATCCGTATAGAGGACGTGTCTCTACTGCTCTGGTGTTCATGAGCCCAATTCAATCGCGCTCTCACATACGATGGGGACAAATAACACAAACCACAGGTACATCAATCTTCATGCAGTCAACGCGACAAAATTTATCGACGTATCGGCCGTCCTGCAGCAGCAGAGAGATGTCACGCCAGCTTTCGTTATTGATCTACGACGTCTTGCACTTAGCAATCTCTTTCTTCGAATGAAGTAGGCTTTCCTCTATTTCAATAATTTCTTACATCCGTCGATTTTTACTGTAGGCCGAGTTCATTAATACTGGGGCACATACCTTACACATGTAACTCTTCCAGTTGATTGCTGTTCATTGAAGTTGAATGAAGTTCTCTTGCAGTTTTAGCTGCTTGAAATTTTACTACTGAGGTTCATCTTCAGCAAGAGTTCATAAAATTCAATAGACGTCATCTCTTGACGCCAAACGTAGATGGACCTAACGGCTGTAAGGAATAGGATTTTTTATCCTTCCGACTAATTTTGTGCTCTTAATGTTTCTTCTCATTATAAGATTTGTTCTTGCAGCGCCGTTTCATTATCGAGTTGTCGACGAAGCATGATTTCCTCTTTTGGTTCTTCGCGAATAATTTTCTATTATACATAATATGTTTATTTTGAAAAAATTCTATTGCAGACTTTTTCTCCCTGGTCAATTCCCAAATTGTCATATTCATGGCGTTATCAAAAAATTTTAAAATTAAGCCAATATTTTAATGCTGACTTAAAAATTTAAAGTTATTTAAATTTACGAACAGTACACAGCATAAGGAAATTTATGCTCAGTTTGCGAAAAAATGTGCGCGTTTGCTAGATTTGCAACTTTTCACATATATTTTTGCTGCGATTTCAGACGGTCCCCATAACGGAATTTTGTCAAATGATGGTTTCTTAAAATAAAAACTAAAAAAAATTAAAAATTAAACAAATTAATTTGAAAAAGCGAAATTGATTTATTTTAGCTTAAACTTAAGCGCAGTTTCTGACGCTTTTATTCGAGAAGCGAAATTGTCGGTTACTTAAAATTAGAGTTTCTATTCTGAAACAAGCAATTCGGCCAGCGAACTGGATGACAGAGTTTTCGGTACACAAAATTGAAATTTACTCCTCTGCAAAGGGATGCTGTAAAGGCACGGAAGCTGAAAAGAGCACTGGATACTGAAGAAACTTCGAAATCCAATTTAATTTAATTTTACAATCCCTTTTGCAGTGCTAGTCCTTTATTCTGTCCGTACGTAGTGATGTCAGGGAAAAACGTCGTTCAAATGGCTTCGAGAGTAGTTAAAATACATATATTTTCATTGAAACATGATAACCGAAAGTTTTGGCGAATACAATCTTCATTTACTTTGGAAGTAAAAAATTATCTGATCCCCAAATCTGAAAAACTTGCAATGTTTGATATTTTTAACTATAAATTTGGTTGTGGAGCGACGTTTTGCTTGGGGTTTGTTTTAAAATGCTTGTAAGAATTCGAATTATAATATTATAATACGAAAGTATACAAATTTTAGATTGGCTATTTTGTTCAAAGGTATCTGACCCATTAGAAAAGATAAACATCGCAAATTATTCTCAAATTTTAAATTTATAAATTATGTTTCCCGCTTTCTTAGCGAGCCTTCGTGGTGTAGTGGTCTGCACACTCAGCGCGTAATTGAGAGCTTCGCGGTTCGATTCCCGGCGAAGGCGTTGCTAATTTTTCATCTTACCTGCTTCCAAATAATCCAAATGGCTCTACAGGTAAAGGTAAAGGTAAAAGTATGGGGGACACCAGCGATGTACCATAGGTCAACTGGTAATGCCTTCCCATACTAACTCTTTGAGAGAAAAAAAAAGGGGGGGTAATTGCAAGTTTTATAAGAATTTGCATAGACTGAAGCTTTTCAAAAGGTCTAAAGTTTGCCTATTATGGTACATCGTGCAATTCCACAGTACGCCCCGCGCCATCCATTATTTATAAAAATAATGGTGTAGGGCATAAGTAGATTACAAAATAGTAGGAATACAATTTGAGATTCACAAGATAAATTGAACATCTGATTTGGTGCAACAAAAATAGGAGATAAACATAATTAATAAACGAATAAAGATAATGAGATAATTATAATTAGTACTGGCAACACAATGTTAAATGAATTGTTATAATAATGCTAAAGAGGTGTCCATGGGTTATATCAGATATATTGGTTTATTGCAGTTTATAAAGTTCACGAGCGGATCCGTTTTGTCCATAATCACAGCATGTAAAAGTTCACTAAGTTTAAACTGTATGTTGACTTACACTTGACAGAGATCTAGGCCGTAGGAAGAGAGTCGTTGCATAATTTTCTGAAACTTTTGGATATTGATGGATTTTTATCTTTAATTAAAAATCTTTGGAATGCCAGGAGGTCAGTTCTTGGGGATTTTATGTGAATATCCTCAGTTAAGGGGCATGAAAAACGTAGTGATCAGAGAGTTCCCTGTTCCCCACATATGCAGATGTCAAAATTTGCCAAATTTCTTGCGTAAAAATATGTGGGGAAGGGTCCATGTCCTGTTATAAAGTAATTTAGGGAAGGATTCGAGTTCAGAGATGCTAAGCTTACATTGGGCATCAAGTTATATGTGCGTCTTCCCTGTGGAGCACTGTTCCACAAATTTTGCCAAGATTTCGAGGCAAGTTGTTTTAGTTGGTACTTGAAATTTGAGCGAGGCCACGGAATGATGATTTCAGTACCATCTTGATTAATAGCTGCTTCTTTGGCTAGTTCATCTGCCTGATCATTACCAAAATGGCCACTATGTCCTTTGATCCATGAAATTTGAATTTTGTAGTTTGGGATTTTTCCGAGAAGAGAATTTCTGTCGGATATCAATGGAGAGGAAGGTAAGGGATTTTTAATAGCTAGAATAGCTGCTTGGGAGTCAGATTTTATGCTAAATTCGTTGAGATTTTTGAGAATGGCTATTTCAATCGCTGCTTTTATAGCTGACAATTCCGCTTGGGAAACACTATCATTATTAGGGAGATGGCCTTTCCATTTGATGATATTTGAGGGGGTAATTTGGAAAAAGACTGCGGAACCAACTTTTCCTTCAATTTTTGATCCATCAGTATAAGCAATTGGAGATGAATTTGAATTTTCTTCAGACGTGGGGAATATTATTTTGCTGAAGCGAAGCGCTGGATGGATAAGATTGGGGGTTAATTTTCTTTTCATAGTTGGATGGCCAAAAGGTTTGTTGTTGAATTCTGTGGCTTGGTTAAGTGAAGAACTTTCATATAGGTGCATTCCATTTCTGCACTGATTGATAACGGAAGAGTACCAGCTAGTGTATCAAGTGCTATATTTGAAGTTGTGCGATACGCCCGAGTAATGCAAAGAGTAAAACGCCTAAATGTCTCTACAGTGGCGGCCGAACTACAAAGACTGCTGGGTGATGTTTCTTCTCGCCCAGGATTTGGCGATTGGGTCCCCTAAAAAACCCCAGTCGCCCTTTAAAAGGGGGTGTATGTAAGATATTTCTCCCGCCTTCTTAGAGAGCCTTCGTGGTGTAGTGGTCTGAACACTCAGCGCGTATTTGAGAGATCCACGGTTCGATTCCCGGCGAAGGCGTTGCTAACTTTTCAGCATGCCTCCTTCCAAATAATCCTAATGGCTGTACAAATGTGCAAAGTATGCAGAGAGGTTTCTTTTTACTACGAAACAACTTCCTTTAAAGACTCTTACGACGAAACTCAGAAACTGATTTCCAAATCAGTGTCATAAAAACAACAAAGCTGCCAAATTAGAAATAACTGTCCTATTTAAGATTCTGTCTGAATCGAAAACAAACGAATAGAATCATTCGAGCTTTTTAAGCAGAAGACGTGAAAAAAATTTGCTGTGCACTCACCGGGATTCAACCACACGTCAAATATACTTTCAATTACACCACGAAGGCATGCGGAAAGGAGAGAGAAAATACCCTATGTTTTAAACTACTGTAACGTTTTATACGAGGATCCAATTTTATAATCATCCAAAATAACTTCAGTACCTGAATACATGTAAAACGCCCTTTTTTAATTTACCTCCAATGAAATCTGAATACTAAAATAAAAGTTCGGTTTATTCAAAAATTGTTTTAGATGATTAATGGTACGGATTTAATATTTCATTCTTTTATTGCTCTGCACGCCCATTAAACTAGGTTTTCAATCATAGAGATCGTTAAATACATATTAAGGTACAAACTCGGAGTCTGACAGTAATTAGAAAACAAAACTAATTAGTATCGAGCCAAAGATGACAAAGATGCTTAACTTTCTCATTGATTGATTATATATGATGATCATAATTACATACAATGGATTTTAAAGTTTCTTGGTCTTGCGACTTCTTCCCGTTTCGATACATCAGGATTATTCATTAGGCGTTCACATTTATTATGTTATCAAGGCATAATAGTTTAGAAAGCAATGAAAGTTAGCAAACTGCATAAATCAAAACCCTGCAGTTAAGAAAAGTAAAACATAAGACATACGGAATAAGTAATGAAAGTAAAATTAGAGTTTAAAAAAGTTTAGTTATTACAGTTTAAAAATATTTATATATCTATATTATACATAGTTTAAAAATATATATATAATTTAAAAGTTATAACTTATCGTTTATAAAGTAAGAGTTATAGTTTTAAAATGTATTTATTATAGTTTAAAAAGTTTACAGTTTAAACTAATTTTAAAAATATCTGAAAGAATTCAGATTTTTAACCGAAGCGTTAGATTTACTGCTAAGGTGTTTTTATTCTGTAGCTGAGCTCACCATCTAGCAGTCTGTTCTTGGACTCAATCCTTTTTACATAAAATTTTTTATCTTTTTAGCTTTATAATTAAATACCTCTTCCTTCGCACATGTACCATACTACACGCTATGCGACCAGCCTTCGTCTGGCTTTTAAATGTACCAGAAAAATTCCTAAAGGGACAACATTAAATTTAAAAACTGCGCAAAATTTTACTCTGCAGAACAACTTTATGAAAAACACAAACAACAGAAAAAATTCAATAAAAATATATTAAATATAAAAAAATTACAATAAATTAAGCAAATATCCCTTAACACAAATATTAATTATCCTAATAAATAAATTAGCCAACTTCCCGTTGCAAAATCTTAAGAATTCAAATGGTATAAAGGAAGTTAAGAACTTTGTTTCCTAGAAAACAATCATGCAGAACATTTTACATAATAATATATAATTAAAATATAATATAAATAATTTACAATGAAATAAGCAATAAATCTCATATTTTCAAGAGAAAACAGTCAGCAGTCTAGATTCCAAAGCAATGAATGAAGAAATGGTTGCCAAAACCACATTTCTAAAAGAATGAAATTATCAGTAGAAAGCAATAACCAATCAAAATTGTGCTTTGTGGATGACATAAGTCAAACTATGCAAACCTCTTTGCCATTAGCTAATAGAGAGAGAGAGGGAGGGAAAAAAGGAAATTCTTCCTGTTGTGCCTCGCGAAACACATGCGCGTCAGAATAAGTAGATTGCGATGTGCGTGTTGCGTGTATAATTAATGATATTTTATCTCATATTTTCAGCAGTCAGCAGTCCAGCATACAAAGCATTGAACGAAAAATTATTGCCAAAGCCACATTTCTAAAAGAATGAAACTATTCAAAATGATGCGATTTCATCAAAAAAGATAAAATTTTAAAAAAATATCATTCAAATATTGAAAAAAACGCTTCGAGGTTTACTGGCTCTTGTCTAGATGCACCTAAAGTGAGAAAGTTAAGCACCTATGTACCAAGTTTCGTAGTCCTGGGTCTATTATCTTACGCGCAGCACGAACGGAAGACATACACACATAGACCCTTTCTTTTATTATACGTAGAAGTAAAATTTACCAGTAAAATCACTAAGTTTTTAATAGCAGCATATTCTTAGAATCTTTGATAGATTGTTGAGTGATGCTCCACATTTTCTCGGTAGACTCATGAATGTTTATATTTTTTTCATCATTCATCATCATATTGATGTCACAATTTGGAATCCCTTTGAATACAGATAACCAGGAGCAAGGAAGAACAGTTGATAGCCATAATGGAAATGATTTCCTAAATTTCCGCTGAATCGAGGAAGGATTACAGAGATGAAGAATTCCATGGACGGAAATTTTACAGAAATGAAGAAATCCATCGAAGCAAATTCCAATGGGCTGAAAAAGAAAGCAGCACAAATAAAAGAAAGTACACTTTATCCACACACATGCACACATAAGAGGAGGAAGGCATATTTCTATATCTCCCGTTCTAGGCCGACTGACGAAATTTACTACTGCGTTTTCCATGTTTCGAAACCGCGACTTAGATATTAGATTTATATATAGAATTGTTCTACCATACGTATTTAGATATAAAATCATATTTTTTCTGAAATAACATAAGTACTTTTTTCACATTTCGATTCTACAACTCAAATTATGCCTTAATATTAACTTTTGTAAAATTTGTCCAGAAACTTTCCGAGAAATACAAAAATTTATCTTGGAGCACTTTTTTCACTTTGCGCCAAGAATAATTCACATGGCGAAATTCCTAATTTATGGTTACCTACTTTCCTTTCCCTTTTTCATATTGTGCACGAGCGGAAAAAAAGGTTCATCGTTCATTCTTTCAAATAATTTTAACAGAGTGTGTAAAACACATTTGATGTCGTTACGGCTTATAAGAAGTATGCCAAATTTCAGAACGCGCATATAAGTTCACGTATATCTTGGGAAATTTTGAATGAATAACTCGCATTTTTTCACGTTCGCTTAGGAATACCTCTACTTTAAAGATGATGGCAAAACGTTTACAGATTATAATTCTTAACGGTTAGGTTAGGTTAGGTTGAGTTATTTAATTACGGCAAAGGCTCGAGGGCTATCTGCCTAAGGGGAGGGAGGCCTTCGTGAAGGCCTTTCTAAGGAAAACTGGGCTCGTATACACGTTACACATGGGGAAAACCACGAAAATACCCATGCAGCCAGCCCGTTCGCGGGATTCAAACCTCGAACCGAACTACCAGCGTTCAGCGACTTTACCGCTCGGCCGCTGGTGGGCAGATTATAATTAAAAAATGGGTACTATTCGGTTTCGAGGGCCGTAAAAAATCGCCAAACTATTGTTGATGCCAATGCTGAGAAAAATAATTGCGGCAACCCTAATAACTGCCGCAAAAAAGGAAGTATAGTAGTAAATAACTCTTTAAGATTTATGTTTTAATTTAGATGAAAGATTAATTTCATATAATACTTTTTTAATATTATAATTTATATGAAAAAGGCTAAACATGACTAAGAAGCATAAGAGTCAATAACTATTTCAGATCATTATCATAATTTATATAAAAAATTGCTAAACATAACTGAATGGATGCCTGCATCTCTATTTCGCTACCGACTTATCGCTAAAGCATAATTTCATTTCGTTGGTTGTTCAAACGTAATTTTCTATAATGAATTATGCCTTTTCTTTTCTCGGTAAAGTGCAGAATCGCTCACGTACTTGCTTGCCGCTTTTTTACAAGGGTAAAAACAATTGAATTTTTGTCAATTTTCTTTTACTTTTTAAGTGAAAATAGGTCAATGTGTACATAGATAAAGTCAAGGGTGTGCGCAGTGCCATTTTTGTGCAATTCTGGGATTTTTGTTAAGTGAAAATAGGTCGATGTGCACATGGATACCGAGTATGTGCAATTCTTAATAACGCGTCAAGCAGTGGGTGATTCTGCACTTTACCCAAAATTCTATTGCCGACTTTTCGTCATTGGCAATTCCCAAATTGTTAAATCCATAGGATATCAAAAAAGGATTAAAAATTAAACTAGTATGTCAATGGCGTCTTAAGAAATATAAAACTATATAAACTTACGCAATCTGAAATCAACGCGTACGCTAGATTTGGCGCGCTGTTAAATGGGCGCGTTTGCTAGATTTGGCGCTTTTGCGCCTACATTTTCGCTGCAATTTTTTTACGGCCCCCAAAACCAAATAGTACCCAAAAATGTTTTCTAAAAATTTATAAAAATTACTAAAAGATAAAAATTTTAAAACCAAATTTGAAAATGTATGTAAATGTTATTTGGAATCAACCTAATTTTGAATTGTAAAAGAAACAATCAGGTAAGTTTAATAAAAAAGCGTTATTAATCAGTATATACCACTGAGGATCTAAAATTTTGAGAGCTAATTTTTTAAAAACTACTCGTGCGATTTTTACAAAACTTGGAACTTTCGCAGAATTTGAGTCCTAGAATCGAAATCTGGAAGAAATCGGTATGTCGTTTCAGAAAAAGTCTGATTTTATACCTGAATACGTAAGTTAGAGCATTGCTATGCCTAAATCTATTTTATATCCTAAATCATTCTTTTGAGACATGACAAACGCAAGTTAAATTTCGTCAGTTGTCCCATAAGAACAGGAGATACAGAACAGTCCCATTTGTTTCGTGTACCTCGTCAGTTTTCTCTAAAATGCATTGCCGCTGTTGAAGGGAATCGTGCCGGTGCTACGAATAAGAGTATAGCCGCCATAGAAGAAAAGCTTTAAGATGAGTTAGAGACGGTGGAAACGGAAATGTTAGGAAATGTAAGAAGTTGAAATCTGGTAGTTCGAGCCGGGGTTCAAATTCCGCCGAATGGGCTGGCTGCATGGAAGTGTTCACGGTTTTCCTCATGTGTAACGTGTATACGAGCCAGTTTCCCTTAAAATGTCCTCCACGAAAGTCTTCCCTTAGGCAGATAACACTCGAGTGTTTTGCCGTAATCAAGTAAATCAAAGTAAAACATCCTTCTTCTAAACCTAAAAGTAGTGCATCATGACAGACTTGCATTTTTAAAACGGTAATAAAAGTTAATTATTCCTAGTCTTGGAGGCTGCACTGCCCAAGCCATGCGGTCCTGAAGATGGAAGCGATCTTGTAAATATTTGTAAATTAAAATTTGTAAATATATCATACACTAAAAGGATTTGTTGTAAATATTTTAATCTTTTTATCGTTTTTTTTAAATTTCTGCATTGTAACATTTTCCATTGTTTTACTTATTTATTTTATTTATTGATTATTTTTAAAATGGTAATTTGATGTTATTTTGCACTTGACCACATGTCGTGTTTATTTGTTGCATAGCATAAAAAATCTTTTAATTCTGATGCAACGGTTTGGGAGCTGTGTAACTCAATTAGAGCTCGAAATGTAGACAATTTCGTTCCTTAAGGGCTTGTTGAGAAGTTAGGACATATGGCGGTTTTTCGCCAAATTGACGACTTTAAGTAAGTTTCGAGAAAACACATTTTCGAAGCCCTATGAGCAGACGTTTCTAGAGTCCGTATTGCAGAGTATAAATACGGGTCGGTAAGTTGGAGAGCTCAATTGTGAAACAATTGCGAATTTGCTGTGAGATTTAGCGATTAGATGAATTACAAGTTAGGCTTTACGCTAAGAGTCATCTGAGAAATTTTACGACTCATTTCGTGTCCTAAGGACACGAGAATATCCGAGTTCCCCTTGAGTTACTTCATCCCTTATTGTGCTTGGTGTACTACTTAGGCTGCCTATTTTCTTAATAAATTTTTGATTTCTTCCTGCTTACCTGATCTTAAAGCACGTGATTCAAAGGCACATCAACGATCCTGTTGCGTTCAACCCGTTTCCATCAATGATCCAATATAAATGTTCATTTTTCTTAAGATGGCGATTTACATAACATTTTTTCAAACTTTAAATTTTAACATTATTAACCACCACTTTCTTCGAAATTACGACACGCAAAATTCAACAATAAAATCCCAAAATTTTTAAAAACTGCATGTTTTTTTAATTCAATTCCCGATAAAGTGTTAAATATTACCATACATTTTCTTACATTTGCTATATTATTACTTTAAAAATAATAAATGGTGATACTATTTGGGGGGCAACATCCTTTCATTTGAAAAGTGATACGAACCAAAAGTAATTATCCAGACTAATAGCATCACTGCTGCTTAAAAAAAAGTAATTTTATACCAACGTTTTTAAATTATTTTTCTAACAGAAAAATATTCCTTTGAAATTTGCAGTGGAAATTTTATCAACCGTAGCTATTTCAACAAAACTTTCAAACGGCTGATAACACTACATTTTGCGAAATTTATGCATGCTTCAGCCAATTTGTCAATAGAAATTAATTTTTCATAACATTTTACAAAATATTCTCATTGTATCATAGATTTTTATAGAATCACTATAGTTATAATAATTATCTAGATTCTAAAAAATCATTTGTATGTCTAGAAATCTTTACATAAACCGATTTAATAATTTAATTTCCTATATTTTTGTTCAAATGCATAACATAAAACCAAACCTGGAATTTTAACAAACTTGTTTATTTCCTTCAGCGTTCGTTATCGCTTAATGATCAACCATTCAAAAAGTACACAGTTGCACAACCTTTTGAAACAATCGACTATAAATGCTGCTTTTTACTTCAACAACTGTGGAATTAAAACATTGTTTACCGTAGAACTACAGCACTTTAAACTTTTAGAGATTCACTCACTCACTAATCCACTAATGCAATGAACCGCTCTTAGAAAGACTTTAAAGCCGATTTTCTAAAGTACGAAAACATGTTACCTTTTAACAAAGAAATTACTACTAAAAAGGGAGTAACAAACTATATTAATCATAATATGTTTCTAATACAAAAAAAAATTGATGTAAATTGAAGGAACTCCGACATCTTCCCCAGCTTTGAATTTGTCTACATGTGGAGAAAGCCAGGATGAGTGCCACTACCGAAGGAATTTGTCATCTGCCTGCTTTTCCACGGTTGTGAGGCCACCATTCCTGATGAGCATCAGATAAGCCTTCTTTTGTATTAAACTAGGTTAATCTGAATAGTTAAAATGAAAACCTAAAGTCTTTTAATTTACTTTTATGTAACTTGTTGGAATAGCTAGAAGAATATTTAAACTTTTAACTCAATTCTAATTATATCCACATTATAATAATCCATATTAATTAGCCATATGGGGAATGAATATTCTTGAGATTAAATTTTTTGGATCCGGTTTTAGATGCGTGCTCGCATCCCCGGTTCAGTGCAACAGTACTCGGTAATGAATGCAATATCTTCCGGGGTTTTAGCTTGTAAAGT